GGGGGCGGTGGGTTTGGCCTCGCCCGCTATGCTCGTGGTTTGTAAGTTTAGTAATTCTTTTTATTTGTACATGGGACCGCTTTCTCTCAGCACTGCAGTGGGGCTCGTGTGGCCAGGTGAACTCCCTTCTGCCTTAGCATCGGTCCCTTCTGCAGTCATGGGGGATAACCCTCGCGCTTACCAAGCTTTCTTCTCTCTTGCACCTTTTCTTCTTCCACTGCTGTACGTTGTTCTGTTTCAGAGTCTCCTGATGCTCATGGACAGCCCCCTGAATCGGGCAGGTCTCCTGCAGGTTTATATCCATACCCAGAAGAACGTTCTAATCGAAGTCAATCCCCAAACCAGAATCCCAAGAACTTTTGATCGATTCTGTGGTCTCATGGGTAAGTGATTCAAACTTTATACTAGCCACAAAATAATGCAGGCAGGTGGTTAGGAGCAGAGGAGTTTTGGAAGGAGTCAAAAAGTTGCACCAACCTTTAAAATGTGAAAGAGAGAAAATAGCAGAGAAGTGGAAGTGACTTTTTACGAGTGTTAGGATGCACAGTCCAACCATGTGTTTGTTAGCACAGCGAGGAGTGTCTGGATGAGACTCAGCAGCAAAATAACTTGCTGATCAGTATTTCTTAGGACCGCTTTAGAAGAGGCTGGGAACTCTAAAGATAGTCTTTTTGCCTACTTTAGCTGTGATAACCAGGTAAAGGATAGGATTCCTCTGGCAAAAGAACAGACAGCTTAATTAGTTTTCTTCTCTCTCAGTTCAGTTGCTGCATAAGCTCAGCGTTCGAGCAGCTGATGGGCCTCAGAAATTGTTGAAGGTAATGTTACAGCATTCCTCCTTTGCAGCTAGTGATGTGGAGGTGTGTGGGTTTTTTTTTTTGTGGTGGTGGTGTTGTACAAACCATTGACTTAGCTATGTGGCAGGGCCTCTTGCCTCTGTGCCCTTAGTAACTTTCTGCTTTCTGTAGGTGATTAAAAATCCAGTCAGTGATCATCTCCCTGTGGGCTGTATGAAGATAGGTACCTCTTTTGCAGTTCCAAAGGTGTCAGATCTGCGTAAACTGGTTCCTGCAGCAGAGCCAGTTGCCATTGTTGTGGGAGCTTTTGCCCACGGTTCGGTAAGTGCATGTGTCCCTTACTTGGAGCTTTAAAAATCTTTAACAGCATAGATTTTAGCCTTGTTCTGAGTATGGGGTTTTTTTCTGCCCTTTTTTTGCTTGATTCCCTATGTACCAATTCCCCCTTTCCCCCCGGTAGGCTTGTCAAATAAAGGCCCAATGCTGCAACACTTGGGACTTTCCTCCCTCCTGAAAATGGGCACTAGTGAGAGCTAGCAGTTGTCCTGCTGTGTTTTGCTGTGTTTGTGTTCAGCTGTGGAGAAATACTGTGCGTCTCTAACCAATGGAGATAGATGGGACTAAGTGAAAACTTGCAGCTTGTTTTTTCTCTCTTCTTCTAGGTCAATGTTGACTATACAGAGAAGATGGTCTCCATCAGCAACTATCCCCTCTCTGCTGCCCTGACATGTGCTAAAATTACTACTGCCTTTGAGGAAGTCTGGGGAGTAGTATGAGCTTCTGCTGCTACTACCATCATGGTGGACTCCTACACAGTGACTCCGTGTCCCGGAGAGGCTCTCTTAATGAGGTGTGGACCTGGTACAACTTTGAGCTCCTGGAAGAGAAAAGGCTTCGATTTCATCCTTGTAGCTCCTGGAGCAATGAGACTTTAAATGGACTGCCCCACCCGAACCCTTTCCTCCTATTAAAGGTCACTTTTGATAGGAGTGCTTGTGTACTTTACTTTCTCATGTTCAGTACATGGGGAGGCTTGATCCCCGTATAGCAGGGACTCAGCCCAAATTTGTCATGGAACTGACATTCTCAGCTGTGCCCTGCTCGCCCTGCAGCTGCTGTTGCCGAGTCCCGTAGAGCCGCCTTGCTCGGCAGTGTGTGACAGGTCACACTCCTGCACCGAGGCACCCGAGAGGAAAGGAGCCGAAGCCGATATGAAAAAGACCAGGAGCAATTTTTATCTTGGATGACAAACGTAGAAAAGTCAGAAGGTGGCTCCGATCCAGTACAGTGCCTGCGTTGAGTGTGTGACAATCATCGGACACCGGCGGAGGGATGCGAGTCCGCGGGAGGGTGGCAGAGAGATAAGGCAGCGTACAGAAGGTAGAGGCGCCGGAGGGAGGCTTGCTCCCTTCCCCTCCTTTCGGGTCTTGGACCCTGTGCTTTCTCTTTCCCCCTCCTCGCATTGCAAAAAGTCATACTTCAACACGGCAAACTTGGCAGGTGATGCTTCGCTTCCGGAGTGTTAAATCGACTCCTACAAATGCACACGTGGTACAATCTGAAAAAAAGAAAAAATGTGGTGGATTTGTTTTGGTTGCTTTTATGTTTTCCTTTTGCCTTGGCACGTAATGTTGCTGTCCCGAGTGTGGGACTCTCTCCATGTAGTATGGCCTTACCTTTTGGCTGTTACTCTGCCTTTTTTAGCTTTTCTTTTCGTGGCACAAGTAACCTGCGTATGTAAGGCAACACCAATAATAAGGTGAAGAACAACACATGGCCGAGGAAATAAACAGACCTGTACACCTGTAAAGAGGAAGGCAGGGCCAAGGATCAGCGAGCAGCTTCGAGCCAAGAACGTGTGAGACGGGATGGAGGGAAAAGGGGTGGTTGCATGGGTTGTCCGTTTACGGCTGCTAAATACCTTCATCCATTTGTCCCAGGTGAAAAGGCAAAATGGCACCAGTGAGTAACCCATGAACAGCCAGTGGTTGGCCTGCTGCAGCATGTAGACGATGGACCGCAAGGCTGTAATGGAGGCCAAACTGCTTAGAAGAGGGCTGTCCCGAACAAGGTTTATGACCTAATTTAAAGAGAAAACAGAGTTCTCCTCAGTTGGATGTCCTATGGCTATATATGCAGGCTCTGGGGCCAAAGTATCTAGCCAGCTGTGTAAAATGAATTTTAATAAGCAATTAGTCTAAAAAAGTAGTTAAGTACCCCATCCTGCTCAATGTTTTAATTAAGAAAGAAAGAAGTTTAAATATGGAATATTGTTCTCTCAGTACTGGGAGATTTAGCAGAGGCATTCAGCTCATGTGCTTGTCCTCCAGCCTTTCCAGCTGCTAAGCACTGCAGTTGCCCTCTACTCATGCGCCAAGTGCTCCACTTCTCTTCCTGCCAGCTTCTGCAATACATTTATGGCTTGCCCGTGCAGAAGCCAGCAACCTCCTGAACCCCTGAGAACAGAACCATACTACACTTGAGTGATCACGTCAAAGTGAGCAGCCATGTTTCACATTTAGTCCAAGTAAAGCTTTCAGCATGGCAGTTTCCAGACTCAGGGGGAAAGGCTAACGCAGGCCACCCCATTCTGGTAAGTCAGACAAAGCGCACCTGTCTTTCAACGATGACTATAAGCAACTCCATTTGAAAGCACACCAGGTAGCCAGAGTGCAGCCCGTGCCAAATGGCCAGGAAGAACAGGGCCAGTGCCTGTGACAGCAGTTTGTTACCCAGGAACTTCAGACGCTTGAAGACGTAGCTAGAGCAGAAAAGAAACAAACTCAAAGCGCTTCTAGTTCATTGTCTGTCCTCCCCTCTCCATCTCAGGGGTGCAGGGCCCAGGGACCACACGCCTTTGCACACCCCTGCGGTGACTGAAACAGCAAGACAGCTCCCCTTACCAGGGCAAAATGCACCTCCGCCCTGGTCCTAAAGAAATCCCAGCTAACGGGGAGAAGTGGCTCCTCTGACAACTCACAGGGGAAGGAAGGTGTTATACAATTCAGTTGTGTGTCCCAGCAAGGGCTGAACCAAAATCCGGTGGAGTCACTGCACAGGGACCATCAAAAGGCCTGATGTAGGAACCAGCTGTCAGAGCGGTGCTGCGGCTGTTTGTCTGACCAGGCAGGCCGAAGGGCTCGCTGCAGTTCCGCTCTAGCCTCTGCCCTCCTGCTGCCATCAACTGCTCGCCTGTATTAATGAACTGCCCGTTTGGACTGAACAAAAAGATCTGTCTAACCCAGTAACCTGTTTCAAACAGGATGGCAGCAAAACGTGAAATAGAGTGTAACAACTGGAAAATGGCAGATTCTTCCTCTAGTGCTCCCTCTCAGCCTCGGATCTTGGTTCTGTTGACACAGGTGTTACTGACACGTTACAGAAGGGGAATTTTGTCCTGCTCACCGGGCCACCCAAGCATTGGTGTTGATGTTGAAAGAAGCAATGGTCCCTGTGAACAAAGGTGTTGTCTCATACAGCCAGACCTTCATGTTGGCACAGGCATCCCACAAAGGCTTTCCGCTCTGGTCCTTCCCATTGTACCCCAGACCAACAAGGATGCAGACACCTTCCTATGGAAAAAGATTCACAAGAAAGATTAGAGGAAAACATTGCCCCCTTTATTTTTTTTTTTCTGAAAGGCAGAGCTGGGGAAGCTCTGACTCTCACCGTGTTGAGTGGAGAGAGACCACTGCAGATGGAACAAGGGGATTAAACACTGCCTGCTTATTAGTTAGCTAGCCTTTGCTAACCTCAAGCGAGCGAAAGTGACCTGCATTGATCTCCAGAAATTTGGATTACCTCCATTTAGCGCTAAGTCCAAGAGCATGCTAAGTAGCTGCAAAGGCGCTACCTTTGTTCATTTCTCTTTTGTTTCTGGAACGAGATCTAGACTCACCGTAACAAGCCAGCAGGTTACGTATTTGTAGAGTATAACTTTGCCCCAGATCAATATGTAACCACAGCGGAACCAGAAGGGCTTCTCCTGCAGAGATAAGAGTGAAACAGAATAAAAATAAAAACTGGAGTTGAGTGGCAATAATGAGACAAGGTAGATGAGAGCTCATCACTGTCTTTCATTTTAATCTGATGTGTAGAGCCTGCTGCATGGACTGGACCACCAGGCTATTGGCTCACGTAAATTTACAGATCATTCTCCTTCCTTTGGTAATATTGGGCTGTACTGAAACAGGTACTTGGGGAAGGCTCTGGGATTAGCATAATCATTGCAGAAGTTAGACCCTCATTTACTCATACTGACACAGAAACACTGATAATCTGCAAGTAGGAATTACTTGTTAAGAGTTTTCTAAGAACCTCAAAGATTCAGGTAAGCCTTGCAAGTTACTCTAGTGAAGTTCTTTGTGTGTAATGGTTAAATGGAAGGCCATTAAAAGGTCACAGTATACACCTTAGGTTTCCAAAAACAGCAGCAGCTTCTAAGATTAATTCTCTATTTGGAAAAGTTCTAATTTGCTTCAATTCAGCTTAACACATTCCTGTCCTGCATCAAACAGGAATCCACAGGGCAGGCAGTAAAGCCAGATCAGTTGCAGAAAGGCTCATCACTAGTTGCTGACTTATTTCTAAATTGAGGCAAAACTTAAAAAAAAAAAATCCACTCTTGTAGATCCAGTGCCCACCAGAGCAGTGGAATTCTTCCATACCCCAGAACTGCCAAATGAATACGTACCATATAATCATCTGAGATGAGGTATTCATCGGAGATGTACAGGCTCGACAAGGTATAGGTTACTAGAAACAAGAGACCCAAACTCAGGCGCTTGAGAGCAGGCACAAAACTGAGAAAGAAAAATACAAAGGTCAAAGAAAAGCCTTCGAAAGAGACCGTCAGACTCCTAATTTTAAGAACAGAAGTGGCAAAGAGGAGGTAGGGGGGATAGGAATAGGGAGTCACCACATTCCACTGCAGCAGATGCCTCTGTTTGGAAGCTGGGATGCCAACATTACCAGGTTGAGACTGAGTCTGTACTAAAGATGTCAAACAGTTGTTCATGTTCATGCCCTGGAACAATGCTAGGGCATTAAGCAGAGAGTTATGAGCAACTTTTGAAAGACTGCCTTGTCCTGCGAATCACTTTTCATCACAGGACTTTAGTGTCCAGGTAAGCAGGCCCTCTGCTGCAGGGAACATGTGGAGCATTCCGCATTCTGGGAACTTAGGAAGGTAGGAGCTAAGCGGCTTTTTATTACCTATTAGGTCTCTGGCCTTGAACGTCAGTCATCTCACCCCTTGCCAGTTTCTGATAGTCTGTCATGGAGAACTGAGGCCCCACCATGAAGGCACCATAGAAATAGGAGAATCCTGAGACCTCCAGCAAGGTGGGAACTCCCCGGACAGCAAATCGCCGCTGCTCAGGGGTCAGGAACTCCTGCACCAAAGGGAGTGGTGTTAACGTCATCCTAAGGGTTTCATACTTGCTCTGGATGTTACGTTCTCGGCCAACCTACTTAACGGTCTCAGCTCTTGCTCTCCATGTGTATGGACCTTTCCACTTTGTACTTCATGTCCATTCCTCTCCCCAGGCGTCTCCATCCCCGCCCCCTCTAAACAGCAACAAGATCCAATGGTTGAGACCAGTCGCACAGATCTCTATTCCCAAATAAGCTCAAAACATCAGAGGGACATGTACCCCCACCAGCACAGTGAAAGCACCGTATCTGACATCTGCCAGTCCCTGGCTGCAGTCGCATGTACTCTCGCAAGACCTTAATGTCCTACCATTCCTAGTTCTTGAGCAAGAACTCATTGTCTTTAAATACTTGAAACTTCAGCTTGGGAAGTTTCAGCTCAGCCTCACCTTCTTGCAGTCAGCAGTGATTCCATGGACACTACAGACTATGTCAGGAGATGGGGAGTGTGGATACTTCAAGTAGGATTAAGAGACCTCAGCAAGTGTTCTGTCCTCTTCCACACACTGTGATGTGTGACTCCTCTCACTGTTTAAACTGCTCTAAAAACAGGGC